CCTCCCCCGTGCCCCACCCGTCCCGGCAACTGGCCCACGGGCCGCGAGTTTGAGACCCCTGGCATAGGAGAACCAGGGAAGAAAGGGATGGGCTTCCTCAGAGTCATTCTGCTTGGACTGTGGCCAGATCTGCAGTGATCACAGGCCCACCAATAAAATAAAATAAACATATTGCAAACACTTTATGATATGAAAATGTGATTCATTGTGCCGCTCCTGGGTTCTGTGTCAAAGTCCTCATGTGGCCCCCCAGGTAAGAAAAGTTGGACCTCCCCCCCCCCATCCCCCTGGTCTAAGTGCTAGCAGCCTGCCCAGCATATGGACTCCTCCCAGGACAGGACTGGGAAATAAAGCCTCCTAGTTAACAGTGTTCTCTTAAGCTTAGAGTATATTAAAACCAAGAAACCAAGACAGTAGCAAGAGGAAGAAAAGTGCTTTCTGGGAAGAGGAAGTGTGTTATGCTGTGGGCTCACTGTTTCACTCAAGATGTGTTAAGCTGCAAATCTCAGAATGCCCACCTGGAGTCAGGAAAGGCTGCTACACTGGGTTATGGTGGGGTTGAACTCCAGACACACTGCCATGAGGTCCTGCCGCCTCTCCCAGGTGCCAGGTGCCAGCTATCCCACTAGACAGCTGCATCACTCCTCTACCTACCCATCCAGGAACAGTGTGAATCCCCACCAACCAGGGCTTGAATCTTACCCACATTAGTTTTTCCTGACCTAACATCTTCCTGTGTTTTGGTGTAAAACTCCTAGCAACATGGCCAACAGTCATCAATTCTGGGAGTTGTACTCCAAAACCTCTGGAAGGCACCAGCTTGGGGAAGGTCGAGCTAATCAAGCAAGGATGCAAAGGATAAGTCTGTCACCTTTATCACCCTCAACCTTTCAGACATCTTTCTCAAAAGAAGACTCAAGGTGGTGCTCAGGAAAACAAACACATGCAAAAGTATCAACTGCTGAAACAATTATCTATATTAAAGTAAAATATAGCTGTAAAGCATCAGTAATTTTCCAACTGAGTTAAGTTTCTTATATATCACTTCTTATTTTCCCCAAGGTATCTGGAAAATGTCCATCTGTCAGAGACACCATCTTTGTATTTTATCTTGCTTCTGGAACTGGACTTGCCCTGCTTCATCTTTGCAGACACCATTATTGTTACATTACATTTATACCCTTCCCTTTTTTCCTCTAGCAAAGAACCCAAGGCAGCTTACAAGGTTCCCCTCCTCTCTCTTTTATACTCACAACCACCACCCCTGTGGGGTAGGTTAGGCTCAGAGTCAAAACGCCCAAAGTCACCCAGTGAGTTTTCATGGCCAAGCAAGGTCTAGAACCTGGATCTCCCACATCCCAGTCCAACATTTTTAACCATGATACCACACTGGCTCTGTCAACACCTTGCCCCGGGAGCTTACCTGTGGTGGCCAGCTAAATGTTCTGTCTCTTTTAAAACTGTGTACGATGCAATGTACATCTCCTGTTGGTTGCTGCTCTACCTCACTGCATTGCTGCTCAGCCTTCTGTCTGTCTTGCCAACCGGATGGGTAATCGAATGTTTCTTCTACAGAGGTGATGGAACAGCATCCTCCCTCCCCTAGTCCTAAGGATCAAAAGGTAACTCAGCAAGTGCGGGGCACGTTGTGCAGCACGCAAGCTGTCTCCTTCAGCGGCCTTGCTGCCATTTCCCAACATCTGCTGCCTGAGGCAGCCACTTCGCTCTGCTCAATGACAGAGCCAGCCCTGCAGCATATGACAAGCCTCAGGCTCATATGCCCCGTGCTCACCATACTCCAATCCTCTCTACCAATCCTAGTTTGCTGTTGCACCCAAATTGCTTAATAAGCAGCAGTTTACCTGCCCTTCCTAAATGGGAGGCTGTGACTAGGAATGGGAGAGCCACTGCCATTTGAACTCACTGAAATTCCCCAAACATCACCAAAGTTTAACTCTCTCCTGATTCCATCTGCAACATGTTGTGGTTGTACTTTTTAAAAATATATACACATATTTTTCATATGCACTTGTCTATTCAGGAATGTGCAAACATTTGGGATTTTTTAAATGCTCAGTCTGCATTTGTACATCAAGTTTGCTATAGGCAAATCAGGCATTCCTTACCCAGTTCAACCAAAATAGTAAGTGGTAGTCTACTGCAGAAGAGGAAAGTAGGGAGTATATAAGCCAAGGAATCACTCATGCAATGCCAAACTACTGACTGAACTGAGGCAATTAGTTACAGATCCTGTATTTCTCAAGCTAAGTGTTAGAATATGACAGAGCACCATTGTTTCTGCCATTTCACTGAATAAATAACCAGAACTGTATCACATTGTCTTGAATTAGTTCAGCAAGGACAGTGCTATTCCTACATAAGCCAAGAATTTCCCAACCTTTTTGGCAAAAAGGTTTTTCTGCTGCCTCACTGCTTGGCTTGTGCGTGATCAGTGGAGGCAACTGCAGCTGAAGTTCATCAGCCAAATAGAGCTGATGGCCGGAATAGGAGAATTCTATCTTGGTTTGCAATCATTTGTGCTAGTAGACTGGGAAGGGGTCTTGAAGGTCATCTAGTTCAACTGCCTGCTGCTCCATGCAGAATCTACATGCAAGAACCAGTCACAGCATGCCACCTTCTGTTTCAGTTCCTCCACTCCAGCCAAAGAGACCCAGTTGCAAATAAGGCAGCCCCCTTTCAGCACAAAATAAACATAACATTGCAGTTTTAGAACCCTAGAAATAGAGCTGATTCATCTAGCAGATGGTGCTGGAGCAGAGTCATGGCTTTGCAAATAGGAATATTTCTAATAGAGTTAAGGATAGGTAAGTGTGGGATTAGCTTTGTTTCATCTAGAGACCCACCCACATCTCAGGTTCATCCTCTTGAAACAGAGTACCCCTGTAATGCACATTGCTGGCAGTTGCTAACAATGATACCTAAAAATGAAACCAACAGCCCTCTGGGGTCAAAAGCTGTTTTTCTATTTAAAAAGTAAAATTGGGAAAAATAGCTATTGAGATAAGCATTATAAATATGGCACACCAAGTCATACGCTCTGTTGCTATTATGGGCTTGATAAGGGAAATCAGGACTGGACAAGCCATCTATCCTGAGATCCAGGAGGTGCCATGCTGCATACTTCCAACAGGATCATGTTCCTGTTTTTATTCTTTCGTAAACTAAAAATTATACATATTTACTCTATAAATAAGGACATTTTGTTTGACTTCCAAAGGAAATAAACCCCTCTGCTCAGATAGATAACAAACCATGTTAACTATTAATTATGCAGAGTACCATGTTGCCTTTTCTAAAGTTAGTTAAAAATATCAAGTTGCATAATTATATAACATACACATTTCCTACCTTATTGTTCACTGTAAATTTAAGAAGTTTGAACGATTACATTAACTGGCTCATTGGTATGCAGATACGTTCATCTCTAATAAACATGTAACTCATTTTTAGCATTTTAAAATATACACACTCCCCAATCCAGCTGTGGGGGCACTGTGTGCATATGGGATAAAAATATTCCTAGCTTGAGGATGGCAGACCTATGTGCTGTACTTAGCAACTGTACAGACAGTTTCTCCCTCTTTGGTCTTGCAGTCTCGGTAGGCTGCGCACCTAGAACCCTTTCATATAAGTTTACTTTAGTCCTTCAAACACAGGTTATCTTTTAACATTCCAAGCATTGATTGAACTTGAAAAGCACTTCAGCTAAATGGGTGTGGAGTGGATAGGCAGAGCTGTAGGAGACTTTGCCTTTTCCTCTTTGCAGACTTTGTGGCTGCATCAATGTCACAGAGGCAATTCTCACCTGCACACACCCCCCACCTGCTCAATGCAATAAGCAAAATTGAAGACAAACAAACATGATTTTCAATATGTTGTAAACTGGCCAGAGAGCTTTGGCAGTGGCAGTATAGAAATGAAATTAATAATTGTGTGTGTGTTCTTCTTGAAAACAGCTGTCAAGAACTCTACAGAAAGCACGGATGAAATGGAAGATCCATGTGGGCTACAGCCATTAAGAAAGCATGTGCCACATACCCATTAGATCTCTCTGCCATTCCACTCACAAACACTCTCCTTCTGATTAGCAGCACAATGAGGCCTGGTATGACAGACAAGGGAGGGTGCCAATAGGCTCTCTGGGATGATAATGAGTTAAAAAGAAAGGCCGTCCCCCCACTGCCTACCTCCCTCTTCTCAGCAGGCCTCACCCAGTGTTTTGTTCCTGGTGATGGAGCAAGGCCCTGCAGGCAGGCAGGCTCGGAACCAGCTCCAAACCACAGGAAAGGTGGCCCAGCACCCTATAAATCCCCCAAATATCCAGAAGGAGAAGGGGCAAGCATGGGGTGGAATGATTACCAGGCATGCAGCTAAATGAGTGGGTCAATGCTTATGTAGGGGACACAGATTCATGCCTCTGCTCTGAGCCGTGAAACCCACCCACCCTACACACAACAGCTACACAGCGGAGGCCTACATCTCTGTGTGGAAACATGAGCTGAAAGTATGCAAAACATGGGAATGGAGCTCCACTTCTCCTTTTTTAACTCACAGTGAAAGCCCCTGCACTGTAGCTGTTAGACTACTGGGCTGGGATTCAGGAGATGTGGGTTCTAGTCCCCACTTGGCCATGAAGCTGGCTAACCGGGTGACTTTGAGCCAGCCACTGGCTCTCAACCAACCCCACCTCACAGGATTGTTGTGATATAAAATAGGGAGGAGGATTAGGTAAGCTACTTTTGAGTTCCTTGCAGGTAAAAAAGCAGGATATTAATATAATAAAAACAGTGACAGGAGAGGAAGGCACCACTGAAAAGAAGCACAACCAGGAGGCTTGGGACTTGGACCATAACAAGGAGCTCACATAGAAAATCATTATCTCAGATTACAATGCACACCTTAGTTGGAATAAATCCCATCAGATACGGTAATAGTTACATAGAAGGCTTGGGGACTTCAAGTCTGGCAGCCTCACTTACCTCACAGGTTGACATGGGGATACTTCAGATTTTTGATTTTTTGTTCAAGAGTCACATCTCGGGGATGCAGGAGTAATGAGAGATCACCAGCCCTGGCTTCTGAATGTGAGCCATCCCTTACGGCAGCTGTGAGGATGGCACTTGCTGCCAGAATCCTCCTCTAAGCGAGGTTGCTGCTTTTCAAAAGCATCAGCAGCTGTGCAATTCCTCTCCAGATCCTCCGGCCTGGACCCGACAGAGCCTCACCCAAGAGACATCTATGCTGCTGCTTCTCGGGGCCCGCTCGCAGAGCTTCCCGCTGGCACCTGCCGGCCGGTAAGTCAATCGACTGGCCCTCCTTGGCGACACGGAGAAGACGCGTCGCTTTTACCGCGGGGAACGGAGGGGAAAAGGGCAGGGAGATGCAATGCAACCTGCACCCAGGAGATTCCCCCCCCCCCCGCGCGCCCTGACGTGGGAAGGGAAGCCGGCGAGGTGGCTTAACCCCTCGCTTCCCTGTCATGCAGCAGCGAGCGGGAAAGGGGGCGCTTTGCCCTGCCCAGCGAGACGAGGGAGGGAAGGGGGGAGGGAGGGAGGAAGGAAGGAAGGAAAGAAAGAAAAACGCCGCGGGGGAGAGCCAGAGGAATGGCTCGATTTGCTCCAGATTCAGGGAAGGCCTCCTGTTTCCGGCCCGGATCGTGATAAATCGCTACTCACTGCAGTCTCCGCATCATTAAGAAAAAGCTGTATTTGAATAAATTTCGCTCTCTCCCAAAGCATACCAAGCCCACGCCATCAGTTCGTCCATTCTCCGCCCCGCAAAGGCTCTACAACAAAAGCCAGTCCAACGCCCTGCTCTGGCATCGTACGGGAGGTAGAGAAGGGGGTGGGGGTACCTCAATCTGGAGGCGGAGGGCGCAGAAGGTGGGGAGGGGCTCCCCTTACAACGCGCCAGCTTCCCCTGAGCCACGTTTGCGGCTCGAGTTCGGCTCGGCCACTCGGCCTCGGGGACCCTTTCCTCAGGCTCCCCGCCTCTCCACTCCGGAGTTTTATCCGCAGTAACTGATTCTAACGTAGGAGAAAGAGAAAGATGGGGGCCGGAGGCGCAGCTTAGAAAGGGGAATGGCTCTGCCTCCCCCTAGGTGCCAGAGGCCAAAGAAGCGGGCGAATTCTGCGATGAGTGCCACACGCGGGTCAGGTTTCATCCTCTGCCTTCCCCGTCTTGCAGGCCCTTTATCTTTTCTTCCATCCCCCAGGCACCACCTGAAAACATAAACTCTGCGGAAATCCACATGGGTTACTATCCCCATCCCCGCAAGAAACCCATAAGTGTTTGCAAAGCTGCGACTGCGCAAAAAGTTCGTATTGCAAATGATCCTGAATCATATCGGTGGACACTTCCCCGAGGCTCCATCATACACAACAAGCTTTTGTCTACTGGGACGACCATCCCCACCCCTCTCTCAGGGCACGGCAAACGGTTGTTCAGCGCTCCTTTCGGGATTTCGGCTTCTCACGCCGTTCTGAGTAGCGCCGTGGCAGGGGAAGCACTCGACAGCCTTCTCCCGGCTTTTACGGAGTCTGAAAAATGTGACTCGTGGAACTGCCTTGCAGGGACGTTGTGGTGGAAATACCGGAGCACTACAAAGCACTTGGCATATTAGAACAGGTGCACAGAGGAAAGATGCCAGAGCCCCTGGAGGGTGCAGTAAGTCTGGGGTTGTTCCACCAACTTTGAAACTTGCTTTTTAAAAGCAACCTGGAAGAATGTATTTAAGCATTCTGCAATGGCAGCGTACAACTTTGCTTCATACAATAATAAAATGAATTATGTTTGTTTCACATCTGCCTTTATCAGTATGTTTTCACAAAGTGTGATTTTAACGAATGTAAAGTGGCTTTGATGAATGCAGAAGCATCAGAAAGGCTGGCTAAAAATCTTGCTATCCATCAGCAACTACGACTAAGGGTGCAATTCTAAATATACGTCCTTCCCTGGGAGAAAGTCCCATTGGATTCTCTGGTGCCCAGTAGGCATGTACAGGGTTTCAATTTAACTGGCTTATTTGGCTGAGGATTACCATTTTTTTTCTGCAATAGCTGCGCATTGGGCATAATTCAACAGGTTCAACCCTTTTGGCTTAGGAGATACAAAGTTGGGGAAAGTGGTCCCTCTTGGTGTCTACTTGTAATCTTCCCCTTCCTTGGTACCCTACAGATATTATGAACTTCCGCTCTCATCAGCCCTAAGTATTGGCCATGGGTTAATGGGTGTTGGGAGTCTAAAAAAAATATGGAGGACCCATCTTAGGGAAGGGGGCTTGGCAGGGATGGAGAGCTGGCAACGTTAACTGGACCTTGAGGTGCAGAAAAGTGTTCAGTCAGCATCTGGCCCACAAAAGACCCCAATAAGGGAGCATTACTGACATTCCTTAGTTGCTGACCAATCCTAACTGCATCTTTCTTCTAGAATATTATCTCTGTAGAAAGAAACCTCTTATATAAAAAAGGAGAAGGAGCATAGCTAACAGATGAATATAGAAGAATACTTTAGTTTTACAAGTGATGTGGTAATAATATTCTTCCAGGAGGAGTTTTCTACTAATTTAAGGGAAATGTGGAACAAACCCAGTCTGAAGAGTAGAATAAAAATTCTCTAAATAAATATGTAAGGCTATCCTCAAGGCCAGTTCACGCACAACAGCACCTTTTGCTGCTCATCAACAGGACAGAATCCAACAGGAAGCTCTTGTGTGTGGACTTCAGTAAAACAAATGGGGAGTTGTCAGACTGCAGCTTCTAACTATCCGGAAAATAAATCAAAGCTTGATAACAGCTCATAATTTATTAACAGAGGTTATATGCAGCCCCATAATTCTGCTGCAGAGCTTACAGCAACAAACACATCAGAATACAATTATTTACCATGAGGACTGGTGTGGTATAAAAAATAAAAATACCAACAGCACATATGAAAAACAAATCAGAATTTTGAACTGCTTTTCTTGAAAGAGCAAGTTTGGTGGAACAGTTAGAGCAGGGCAGTCCAACTTTTCATATTTCCCAGTCCTGTCCTGGGAGGAGTCCATATGCTGGGCAGGCTGCTAGCCTTAGATGGTTGGGGGGGGGGGGAGGTCCAACTTTTCTTACCTGGAAGACTTTGACATAGAACCTGGGAACAGCACAATGAATCACACTTCCATATCAGAAAGTAAAGTGTGTTGCAATATGTTTATTTAGTATACACAATATGTTTAATTAACCATTAAGTGAGGAAGCATTAATTTTAAGGTAACTTTAGGTCTAACTGGAAGCAAAAGAACACTTGGTGGGCCTGTGATCTCTGCAGATCTGGCCACAGTCCAAGCCGAATGACTCTGGGGTGGCCCATCCCTTTCTTCCCTGGTTCTCCTATGCAGAAACCCCCCAGCCTCTCCTTCCTTCTTGGACTTGGTGTGCTGAGCCTCTTGTACTTGAGGCACAGGCCATGTGTTGGACTACGCCGAGTTAGAGTGTTGAGCTGGGAAATGGGGGTGGGGATCCGAGTTCTAGTCCCTGCCCAGCCATGAAGTTCACTGGGTGGCTTTGGGCCACTCAGAGACTCTCAATCGGCCTCACAAGGTTGTTTTGGGTCTCAAATGGAGAGAAAAAGTGCCCTGTAAGCTGTCCTGAGGTGGGTGATCACCTCGTAGGTGGTTGATACGATCAACCACCTACGAGTACTGACAACCACCTGGTTTGCGGCCCTGTTTCGGGCCCATGGAAGCGAGCCGACTGTTGTCAAAGCCAGCCCCACCCAGAATGTTCTGCACTGCACTGCAGCATCAGTCCAAGTGGGAGATTAAACTGAAAACGCGGCTGTCTCCAGCCAGGGAGGTTTGGTTTCTTTATGAAGTGGCTCTCCAAGCTACTGAGACCACTTTTAAGTGCAGCTGTACAGGTAGGTGCCTACTCAGAGAATTACTGCATCTGAAGAAGTGGGCCATGGTCCACAAAAGCTTGTGCCAGAAAAAGCATGTTGTTCTTTGTGGTGGTGTTCGTGTCTATCTTAACTCACTCATGAAAAGAATCACATTTTGGTATACAGTGAGGTGCAGGATCATACTCCAGTGGCGCTAATGGCACCCTTATCCATCAGGCAAGTTTTCCACCCAAAGGAGGGCAGTGAGTTCTGCCTTATCTATTTCAGATGATTTTAGTTCTTTTCGACTTTCAGACATCAGCACTGTCGTAATGGAAGCTTAACCTGCCCTACTTGCTTTCTGAGCCCAGAGTTATACAATCCCATCATGCAAAATACAAAAGTGAAATGATGGATGAGCACTTCCCAAAACAAATAAAATATCCCTAAAGTATCCTTGAAGCCAAGAAAGCCTTGTTTCTCTAATGGCAAACTGAGTATAAAATGACAAATTATTGTAAGCCTGGCAGACATAGCAAACAGAATGGGACATTTATGATTCAGCAAAGTCCCCCTCCATCCAGGACTACAGAAGACAATTTGCTGCCTGAGGCTAAAATAGGGGCATGTGAAACAGCCAAACTCAAGCGCATTGACCTTTTCTAAATTCCAATTTGATGCTCATTCCAACTGAAGTCTGTACCAGATAGCAGGATTCGTTTTCTTCTTTATATAGAAATTCCACATGTGACTCCATGTGCTTTATTCCCAAGTGTACACATCAGTGGTATGCCTCTTACAAATGTATGCATTCTTTTTCCCTTGATTAAAAGTTTATTTTTCAAAAAGATGGGTTTTTCCTGTGTATTTTTTCCAAACACTTGTTGACTATAGGGCAGGGGAGGGGCAACTGCGAATCACTTTGCAACCTAGAAATGTAGGCACTTCAACTGCGGATTACATTCAAGTCCATATTTGGTTCAGAAGCTGCAAATGGAGTAAACCCTGATCAAAAATTAACTGATAGTAATTTCTCATAAATCTCTAGGCAACTTGGAAGGTGGTTCCCCACATGCCATTGACATAAAGAAGCTAGCCAGACTGCCAGGGTTAATGTAACTCCAGTGCTAGCAATGGGCCAGTGTCCTCCACTACATGGACGGCCACATAGGAGCTTAGCAGGTGCAGAACAGGCTGAGCATCACACACAGGCTCACGCAGACACACACACACGTAGCTCTGTGCTCCAGCAGAGGGGAACATCTGCAGGTCAGGGGGGGCATGCTGCTGTTGGCTCCCTCCCCTGGTTCTCAGTGTTTACTGAGCAGGGCAAGCATTTATTTGACTCTGCTGGACTGACCCTGCCATTTCGCATCCACTGCAGACTATGGAAGGCTTGAGTTTGTGGGAGGCGTCTCCAAATGCTATAGCTCAGCCTTCCCTCACCTAGCAGCCTCCGGATGTATTGAACAGCAACCCCC